ACTCAATAGTAGTGTTGAGAGACCGGCTCATACCACGGCCGCGGCGCTGTGTGGCTATAGCTGGTGTTCTATAGGGCTTTACGTAACCCCCCTCCCCCACAACCAACAGGTATTGTCTTCTGAACCGCAGCGGCAGTAGTATCACCGCGGTTTTGGTTTGAGACAAGCCAGTACAGTCCAGCGCAGCGGTGAGGGGTGGAACGACATAGATAGCTTCTGTGCCTATTATATAAGGAAGCGTTATACTGAGTGCTCAGACTTCTCTAAGCACAAGCTACCTCCTAGCATCGCCTGGTAGAGTTCTAGAGGCCGGTTATCGAAGCATGATAGGCCAGAGCCTTGTTTAAGCGGTACGAGTGATAGTTTGTGTTTGGCCACCACACGTCCTAGCCCTTGGCACCGGCCGGTAGCTTACTGCAAGCGTCGGATCATGGTCAGATTTTTTCTTTACAACCAAACCCTACCGGCGTTGAATCTCTCCTCCCCCGCGTTCGCAACTACAAGTCTCCCCGAGAACCGCCCATAGGCCAGTCCTCTGGAGATTATATTAGCTGTATCCATGTAGGCCAGTACAAGTCTAACACACATACATGTACTTTGGAAACAGAACCCCGTGAAATGCTGCATGATTGTTTGGATACAGTCGACTTGCTATAGTGATACTGCATAAAAAAATATAGTGATACTCTCGTTATATGGATAACAATCAGTAGTCCCAAAATGCTGTTTTATCTGTCCACCCTTGCTTCTCGTAGTGATACTCGCCTTATGCCTTATATTCGAGAGTCGACTGTAGTTGGGTATTAGTTATTGCTCCTCTCGATAGCGGGGGCTAGCTATGGTCGCGCCCCCGGGCCCTCTGAAGAATTAGATCCACATATATCAAGGCCGGGCTTCAATTAAGCCATTGGGCTTTAATTGAGCCATCGGATGCCTTGGGTGTTTTTGGGCCAAGTTATATTATAAGACGGCGGCCTGGTCCAGCTATCTTCGACCATGCTGAGAAGATACGAAGCCCGGAGGGGAAAGAAGGCCCGAAAGCTTATTCCCGGATCTTACATACTAGGATGTGGGCTTTTCCTCGGGCACCGTACGCTCTAAGCGGGTGGTGTAATGCTTGGGCGGTAAGCTTTAAATTGCAAAACATATGGTAGCTTCTGCACGGGCTTGGACATAGTAGTTTGAGTTCAAGAAGATGAAATTTCGCGAAGAACTGATGAGGAGAAGATAAGGACTCGCTCTTCCCCACTAATAAGTACCTATCGTAATAACAACATGTGATAACCCTAAAGCCAGACTAGCCTCTCTTTAATGACAAGTACATGTACTTAACTAGGGTTAGGGGTATGTGTAGATCTCTGCATCGAGCGGCGGGGGCAGCTATTAATCAGACATGCACAAGGAGCGAGATTCGACGAATGCCTAAGCTCCCCCGTCCCGCTTCCCCCCCTCGTAACGCCCGGGATCTATCAAGTTAGCTCTAGCTATCAAAAGCTAAGAAGATAAAAGCCCGACAACAATCAAGTACTCGATAGCTGCTTGCAATATATCTCAAGTTTGTAGACTTATCCTCCCGGCCCGACCTCTGAGATAGCCTACCCTATATTATATAAGAACAACCATGGGGTGAAGAGACATTCCGGTATGGAATTCCACCTTCTGGGGCTCGGGCTGAAACGGAGCGAGTGATAGTTCATGAAAATATATATTCACCAGCCAGCGCTGCACAGTGTAGGTATGTCTTGTCAATTTTTAAGGAACGACCGACCGTATCCACCCTCCTTCTCCTTCTCCTATTCCCTACAACAGCCAGCTTGGGTCGCTGGCATCTCCATCATCTCCAGTGAACAGAGAACCCATAATTTCCAAACATATCTTTTATTTCCCATATATTTAACTACCCATCTACTCAATACCCGTCATCGCAATCATTTCCCTCTCGCTAGACCCATGCGTGCGTGGTACATGAAGGAACTGAGATTTGCATCGTAATAATCGGTAACTACAGGTATACATAAGATTTTTTGAGAGAAATACAGCAGGACCTCACAGCGCATCAGGTACCCATCCTCATGTACCCAGCTGCACTGGAGTCCGATATACACAGGTGGTGCGAGCCACCCCACTCCACCCCACCCCATCCCACCCCAACTGGCCCGTCCATCGCACCCCTACCCCTAGCAAGATTTTTTTTGCCCCTCTTGCTTCCTAGGTGTAAAAAAAAAAAGGAAAAGACAAGTTTTTCTCCAAGCCCATCCCTTTATCCACACCAGATCATTCGTACAACCTCCAAGCTTCTCCACGCAAACATACCCAGAAGTAACCACATCGCACATGATATTGGCATTCATATCGTATCCCCGCTTATTGATCCACCACATTGATCGCAAACCCTCCAAACGCCAAAAAAAGATGTGAAGAAAGAAAATTCGTCAAGGAGGAGAGAGTTAGGGAGAGATTAGAAGAAGAAATGTGAAACGAATGTAAGATCCAGGGAAGATAAAAGGTTTCCCGAAGATAAAGAAAACAAAAAGAAAAGAGCAATAACCTCCATAAGTCCAAGATGTTTTACAATCCGTCCAGCGTGGTTACTGCCACTCTAATTTCCCCGCTTCGTCATCAACAAGCCCATATGCCTACAGTTCCGTTCACTCTTCCTTCGACGAGATATCCGTCCTTAACCTTGACCCTCTCCACAATCTCCGTGCTGCCATCCGCACCACCGCAATCCCAGTGTCTGCCATCAGTTTTGTCATAAACCTTGGCGACAGGCTCTCCAGCAGCTGATACAATGCGGCGGCTGTCGAATTGCATGCTGGTGATAGGGTTGTCATAGCCAAAAGCATCGAATATCGAGCCAGTTCGTAGATCCCAAATCTGGAAAATTATGTTAAGAAAGTGATAAAAATGCCAGAGGAGAATAACATACTCTTATACTTCTGTCGAGGGATCCGGTGACGAGATGCACGTCGTCGAATTGAAGACACGTCACAGGTCCAGTATGGCCGACCAACGATCGGTGAACTTGGCCACTCCTCACTAAAACCACCCCTCATATCAACAGACTGACCTACGACCACAAATTATATAATGTTGAAACTTACAATCCCATAGCCTGACCATTCCATCTGCTGTTCCACAAGCAAGAGCAGCATCAAAGCATTGCAGAGCACCGACAAAGTCACCATCAGGCCCACCACCTTGTCCGCCTGCTCTCCATTTACCCTCATCCATATTGTTCTGTGCCGCTGCCCAAAGAACATCCAATGTCTGTACACATCTTCCCTTGACAAGATCCCATTGTCTCAAGGTTTTATCGGCGCTTCCGGAGACCAGAGTATCTCCCTGGAAGTACAGTGCTGTAACTTCTCCTACGTGCGAATCAAGACAGAAAACCTGACACTCTGACATCGAAGGAGTGTGATATCCCATTGTTGAGTGTGCCCCATCATCATCTACATCATCATCTTCCTCATTTACAGAGGCCGATACAGAAGCTGTGGCAGATGACCTCTTGTGAATTGACCCGGTTGTAGATGGGGGAGTGAATTTATAGCTTTCTGCCCGAGACAAATCCCATAGACGGATTGTAGCATCCGCTGAACCAGTTGCGACCATGTTATCTTCCACCTGAAGACACCTAACAGAGGCTTGGTGGCCTTCCAGCAACCCCAAACAACGTCCAGAATTAAGATCCCATACTCGCACGGTGTCATCAAGTGCTGCAGTTACCATTGTGCCAAATGGAACATCAAAATCTAAAGCAGTTATATTATCAGAATGAGTATGGATTTCTTTGATCCTTTTACCAGGTTCAAGGTGTTCGTGAAGTATGGGCATGGAAATGCGGCGAGCAGACTTTCGTTTTCGTGATTGCTTTGGCGAGTTGAGTTTTCCATAGATTGATTCAGACATGAATGTGGATTCCTCGCTTTTTCCATCATCAACGTTTGAATCGTCAGAAACATGGGTTTCTGAGGCGAGTTCGAGTTCTTCCTGCAAGTCCTCAATCCTGTTTTCAAGATTCAACACTGTCGCCTAGCATTAGCACCATTAAGACACAGTCATGTCCTTGCAGCTGTAGGTTCACGTCCTGGGAAGGCTGAAATGGGTGGTAAAGGATATTTACTTTCATGTTCGACTTCAGCTTCGTCCTGCTCCAATTTTGCAAGTCGGTCTAGAACAATGTTCCGCATCTGATTCAGATTCATTATTTTCATATCAATTTCCCTAATCTCAGACGAAGACATGTTCTTCCTGATCCCGAGCATCTCTAGCTTCCGTGCCAACGTCTCCTTTTCGCGATTCAATTTACCCAGTGTTGGTGGGCCAGAGTCGTCGCCATTGGCATCCTCAAGCAGCTTTTGCCGACCGGAGCCTTTGGTAGTCGTCCTTCCTCGGGGCTCATCGGGTAGGGTCGCCTGAAAGCCTTGGAATAAGGAATAAGAATTGTCGTTCTCTGGAATGTTCGTGAGGAGCTCATCTGGGAGTGAGGTGAGAGCTCGGTACTGTATTTCGGCAGTTGATAGCTTTGATCGAACAAGTTCCGACGGCGAGCGGTGATTGAACGTAAAAACACGCTTTTGAAGCGACGGTCGATGCGCAAGCTGTTTGGAAATATCTGTCATTGTGGAGGTGTAGTGGTGCGACGGATCACCGTCGTTGAAGAGAGTTCCGGCGGTCGCTGTCACTGTGCGGCCGAGTGCTGTCAGGTTTTGTCCCTGCAGGGCAAAAAAGAAAAAAAAATGCGAAAAATATCGTTAGGGCAGATCTACGACATCCGGTGCACAGAGGCAAGTTGGAAACAAGACTTACTGTGACGTTGGTCAAAACGTTATTTCTTCTACTTATGGCATTTGTGTTTGTTTCGGAATCAGAATTGCTCCTGGGATTGTCAACTGTGGACAAGGAACTGCCATGACCAGAATTCGAGGCCATGACATTCCAGGGAATGGACGGAAACGGCGATAGCAGAGGGAGATGATTGCAGATTGATTGGGATGGGAGTTGGTATTAGATACCAAGTGGGGGAGATGACCTGGGGCCTCCTCGGTGATGGAGGGATGAGAGATGAGGAATGTGCGAATCTGCTATCGCAGCGGGTGAAAACAGCTGCGAACGAAGAGACGGCACAGGACAAGACGAAGCCTACCAGCCAAAAGACACCTGCTGAAGTTGAGTTCCCCTCCACCACGAAAAATAATCTTGGTGGCGGTGGCGTTGATATGTGGCTCAAGAGTGATACTCTACACCCTCGGCCCGATGGAGCCTCATGCCGAAACATGTCTCAGACTGTGTACCTACTCTAGGTTGACGCGTACCCTATTTAGCACTCTAGGGCAACTGTGAAGATAAGGAGCCCAAAGGAACCCGTATTGGATACATGTATGAAGTACATTGCAAAAAATAGCCATCTCTAGAAGACCATACATACAAGTACTTGTTGGAATAAAACTGGGGGTAACCTGCATGAAATAGAAACTAAAAAGCAAACTCCATCATCATAACTCGTGTATGTATCCATTACTCCTATTATTATTTCAAACACCACCAATTACAATATTTTTTACTCGCTGTCCGCTCCACACAGTCTATCTACCTCGCTTCAAATCCATGAGAGGCGATCCCAAGCCCTATTATTTCCAAAAATATTGGAATTCCTTCTACAGCAAACCAAGCGATACCTAGACCGGTATTAGAGACAATAGTTTTCATGGTGCAGATAGTAAGACACATAACTCACCAGCATATACTACGAGCTTGGTCACAACCTCAACATCATACCTGACTCTAGGCCTTTCGATCTTCCTAAAGACCTCTGCCTCTGCCTTCTCATCATCTGAATCAACAACTAGCGCTTTAACATCGACGTTCCCATTACCCATTTCGTTCTCATACTTTGCTACATCTCTGGGTACAGAAGGAGAACGAGATTGGCTCGTTCCAATACTTTCCCGGCGCTTCTTTTCTCGATATGCAAGCGTTTCATAAGCATCAGCGGCGGATTGGGGACCGACAGAGTCAGAACGCGGCCGACGAAAGCTGTGGATCAACGCGGGAAGTTCGCTCAAACCAAAAAGGGTGTCATCGGGCAAACGTGGGACCTTTTTATATTCACTATTTGCATATTAATAACTTGAGAGGATTCTAGGCAGAGAGGAACGCTTACGAAGCTGGTGTAAAATGTTTTCGTGGTAAAGATAAACCGATACTTTCAATCACTCTGTAAAGAGGAGGTAGAAAATGGTGTAAGGTGGGTTTCATAAATTCTCTCCAAGCAAATATAACACAAACACCTATTGAACGATGATCAGTTATACCGGTCATTTATCACACTCGACGCCCCAAAAAGCTGTATTTTGGACTTACCGGCAACCACTCTTAATACACTTTTCGTCAAGCCAAGCTCTTCATAGGAATACGGGACTGTGGCTGGAACAGGCTCGTTCCAGCTCCATGAGCTCTGCGCATAATGCCAGTGCCCCACATCACACCCCATAACCACTGCAGCGAATGCAACCCCATCGTCGAAGCATGGGCAGGAATCAGCAGGCTCAGGATGTATCCTAACCATAATCAAGCCCACCACAATAAAGACTACAGGAACCTGCCAAGACCCACTGAAGACGAATGCATCAACCGCATCTCGCGATACCCAATCTACAATTGCGAGCACAGCGCCGAGGCAAATGCCAACAATGACGTCAAAGAATCCGTGCATACCGCAATAAAGTCTTCCTAATACAATGGAAATTGCATATACCCATGCTAAAGCTTCGAGAGAGAATCGCAGGGTGGTTGATACATCGGGAGTAGAGCGGAGAGATAGAATTCCATACAGCGCTACAGACACGGCATTGGTAGAATGTGTGCTTGGAAACCCGTACTCAAGGGCCGCTGATCCAGACATGGTAATCCTATGGAGAGGAGGAGATAACGGTCGTGGTAGGCTTAAAGCTATTAATAATTTCCTACTGACTAAGCCTTTAGTAGATGACGAGAAATTTACCATAATAGATCTTTCAAAAAACCACTGAAGAACACCCCTGAAGCTAAGATATGCACCATTCTGATTGAATCACAAAACTTAAGAGAATGTCCCCTACAAATACTTGGATAAGAAGATTACTTACCCTCGCCCAAGAGTTGTATATCCAAACCAAAATAACACTGGTAGCATTATCATGAAGAAGGTATGAGTGCCGAGATTGGCTGTGAGCGCAAAATACGAATCGAGAAAGGGTGTTCTGCAGTGTTCCTTTGATACGATGCAAAACATTAATACTGAATCTAATCAATATGTCAACTATATCATAACTCACCTGGAAGTATGCAAGGTACGGTGTTTCCCATCTAACCAGGGGCAACAATTTCTGTCGCGCCATGTACCGCCATCGTGGTAGTCGGTACTTGTCTAAGCGCCCAAAATTAACCTGCAAAGCTCTATTATTTGGTTCCAGAAATACCCACAATGATCTCGCGGGAGTAATCCAGCATCAACCTTTGTTTGACCTTTCTCAACCTCTGTAGCTGTGGCAGGCTGTGCAGCTCCCATTTTCGGTGACAATCCGCTTATCCCCGGGACTGTTTTTTTTTTCTTTTCAAAACTATGACCGAACTATGTTGCTGGGGGATTGATTCTAGAGAGTGTTCGCACAGACACAATTGAGGCTCGAAAATGCCGATGATGTTGAGCCCAACCCTGGTGACACGCGTTGTGAAGTTTGACAGATTCGTGGTGCTATCTCTCTCGTGATTCCGGAAACAGCTTGGCCCGTGCTACCGGTTTCAGGGACCATTAATAGTTAGCTTAGCGCTGAGTCATCTATCATTCATGTCTGAATTACTGGATCTGCGCTGCGTTTATCAGTGCGCATGCGCATGCCTGTCGATGTAGGTACACGTAGGTACGGTACTGTAGGTGGTAAGTACGTGTGATATACATGTAGATACGTACATCAGGTCTACTGTTGATAGAGTACATACACAAAAAAAAGACGAGACTTTATTGTTATATTCATGAAATCAACTAATAAGAAAAAGCAAAACCTCGAAATAATGCTGTAATCGACGTCGAATTCCGTGCCGCTTGTATTGGACTTTTCACAAATTAAAACGCTTCTATCTACCTTTATTCAACTACAGGAAAACATGTACTCTAAGAAACTTGCAGACTCTAGTACTTACATGTAATTGTAACTAGATACCATACACATACTTACATTTAGCTACAGATATCTATTAAAACGCCGAAGAGTTCAAATAGATGTGCCTTTAGAAGAACGATGATGACTCAATACTGACTAAGTATTATTCTGTGAGATCTACATGCCTGAAATAAACGCCAGGGTTGTTTGCTGTTGAAACAACCAATAGATATCCTGCACTATTTGCTTAATTAATTCCACGTATTTGCATGGTATAGGGTATGTGAGAAAACCCAGATGACTCTTTGCTTGGAGTTTGACGAAAGCTCATTATATCAAGAGATTACCTTGAGTCTTGTGCCTAACTCATCCCACCAAAGGAATTGTGTTTGTGTTCAAGTGGGCGCTCGAAATGGCCTATGTTCAAAGCTCTTTCCTTCGAGAGCAGCTTATATTCGTTGTAGATATACGGGGTAAGTATCTGGAGTGTATAAATTTATACCCACAGATCAGTATATATCCTAAACTACCCCTTGTCCCCCTAACTGCCCCTGTCCTCCTTTTTGAGATTTATGACATGAATTTCTGCATTTTTGTATGCAGATATGTTCAACTTGTGGGGTTTTGCGCAATTCAAGCATTTCCATTGCATGATGTTGCAGTGCAGTAGTGACGATTATGATAAATTATGAGATGCTGCATGTGTGAACTCAACCTCTTGGGAGATTTTTATATGCGGATCCATCAGCATCCTAGCTGGGCGGGGGATGTGGCCGATTAAACGTGCCGTCGTGGTTCCTGGCGCGTCTGTCCGTGCATCATCTCATTTCCCGGCGCCCACGCTAGGTCACTTGTAGCATACCAGCGCCTTCTGTGCAGTGAAGCGAACTCGTGTATGTAGCCTTTCTTTCGGAGGTTTCGCTACTTTCCCCCCTGGACTCGATCCCAGAGAATCTAGCAGAGACATCCAGACCTCAGTTCATACATGTACTTTACGGCCACTTAGCTTGGAGTTGAGTGTCTGCCAGTTCAGTGCTGTACATACATTTCGTTTATCCACCTGGCCCTGAGCAGCCCACCAACCAACTGTCATTCACTTACTGCTGCTGCTACTACAGACTGTACCTACTGCGAGTCCTGCTGTGCTGCTCACGCTCCTTCACACCATTTCCTGTCCCTAACCGCCCGCCCCTCCCTAGTCCCTAGTCACTCGTTTTTGTCTGTTGTGGTGTTCCTGGCGGCTGAGAGGGTTTTTTTTCCGGGGCTCTTCTTTCCTTCTCTTCTTACCCACCTTCACGTCCTAGCAGCAGTCAATTGCTGCTATTTCTCCGCTGCTACCGCAGCCTAAGCCCATCCCCGCTACTCCCACCCCCCCACGAAATTGGGGAAAAATAGAGCCCGCTCGAGAGAGCTGGCGCCTTGTGGATCTTGAAATCGGGTCAATGACAGCCACGAATTTTGCTGGTGAAGGACGTTGTTCCAATAACAACAGTAGTCGCCTCGCCAATCGTGATACCTCCTTTCTGGACGGTGATGCACCGACATCAGCAACCGATAACATGCCTTCATCTCGGCATACAACACGACGGTTAACTTTGAGTGGAGCAGCTTTGGTAGTTTTATCAACTGTATTTTTGCCTTTAGCAGCAGCTCAAACTTCTTCCTCCGGCAATTGTATCTCACTTTCTGGATCACGTACTTGTCCAGCGTTTAACGAATCCTTTATTTCCACCTCAAGTTCTCTTACTGGCGAGTAGTATGTCTTCCCTAACATGTACTATTTAAAATTTTATGAGCTAACGCGTTATCATAGCCCATTTCTTGCATATGTTTCTAGCACCGAACAATTTGATACCCAGTTCGAACAATATATCAAACAAGACTATGCCAAGAATAAGTAAGTTTCCCTTGAGTAATAATTTTGTTTCTAATAAATATAATAAATATCAATTTCTAATTTGATTTGTTTAACCTAACAGATATCAAAATTTATTTGGCTGTTCCAACCTAACACTCTCAAATACAACTGAATTATATGCACGCTACACCCGTAGTGTTCTTTGTTCTAGAATGATTCAAGATTCACGAACAGCATGCTCCCTTACAACAGCGCAGTCAGCACCAATTTGTGCAGATGCCTGTGTATGTCATCATGTCTTCTTTTGAAATCGATTTTTGACTAATCGAACATAGGCTCAATTTGCTATCAGCGAGCAAATAATAATTTCAAATGAGGGAACATGTGGAAGTACTAACCAAGATGCGCTCGGTCTAATCCGGTCTGATTTTACTATATGCGCTTTGCCATCGGACTCTCTGAATTCAAACTGTGTCCCTGCCGATGAAAACGAAACCACGAATTGTGGTTATAAGTAATTCTACTCGATCACGGGATACTCATGGCATTGCTGATGATTGACAGTGATAATCTCCCTGGTCTTTGTTTATACTGTGCAACAAATTCGCCAAACTCAACTGATACCTGCTGCTATAATAACAATGCTGAGACACGGTGTGAGAACGTTGATTTGCCAACAGTCACTTCTTTACCCCCGATATTTACAACAACTACAGTTTCCTCGTCAACCAGCACATCATCATCTGGCGCATCGGGCTCAAGTGGTGGATCGGGTCTTACTGGGGGTCAGATTGCAGGGATTACTATTGGAGCTGTTGCTGGTGTAGCGCTGGTGGTTATGCTTATTTTGTTATATCGACGCCGGCAAAGATATGGGAACTCTCCGCCTGCCTTCAACCAACAATCTCGACAACGTCGAAGCCCCTCAATGACTTTCAACCCAGTTGCTGCAGCAGGCGTACAGGCCCAAGGGTATGAGGTTCTAACTGGACGGATTGCGCGAATGTCAGCACTTGAAGGAACAGGTGGGGCTTCAGATATAGATCTTTCGTCTCCTGGTGTGATTAGTGGTGGCGCCAGACGTGGACATATTCGGCTCGTCGAGAATTCTTCGTCCTCTGACTATGGCTTAGAGGATGGTCCAAACACCAACCAACCTCGAAGGTACTCGCCTGGTCGGCCCCTACACCCTCCACCCCGTGATCGAAATGCATCTTTATCCAGCACTTCGATTCTCATGTCGGATAATTCATCTCCCGTGACTAGAAGCGACAGGGATATGTCATCTCCTGGATTTTCTAGTCCACAATCCGAACAGCTACCATACTTCAAGGTATTCCCTCATCCTTTTGAGTTACATGTATCTTGTTCCTGTGCTGACTCCAGTTTAGGATTATTATTCCCAGGATGATATCCATCCAAATGACAAAGTTGCTGTTTTGTGGGCATACCAGCCCCGAGCCGCCGACGAGTTTGATTTAGACCGAGGCGATATGCTCAAGGTTGTGGGCATTTGGGATGATGGTGATTTATATCTACTTTTTTTTTCTAGGCGATATTTGCTAACATTCAGTAGGATGGGCTACTGGTATTCGCTTGAATGAAAGGGCAGAAGATTATGTAAGCCACCGGCAGCTTCGTGATAGTGGTGTATCGGCACATACTTCACGTGCCAGTCAACGCCGGTCGTCCTCTCCTCCACCTGGGATCGAAATCAAAGCTTTCCCTCTTGTGTGCGTCTGTTTACCGGAGCACTGGCAAAAGACAATCGACAATGACCCACAGGGCTCGGATTTCGCAGGATTTTCGAGTGACCAACCCGGGGAAACAGTGAGCGGCCGATTACACGATGAGGATCCGCGCACACCTGAGCGGAAAATTACCCAAAAGGGCTCCAGCCGCTTCCGGGAAGATTTAAATGTTCCTCGGTCCGGAACAACATCATCACCGGCCTCCTTTTAACGTATTCGTAATTCAATAATCTCCCAACTCGTTTATTTTTGATGAGTTCAGACAATTTGAGTTGCCAAATCTTAATGACGGTTTTTCTTTGTTTTTGTTTTTGTTTCTACCTTTTCCTTATTCATTTGTTCTGTTAAATATTCCGGGCACGGAGTTTGGCTGGCTTTTTTTTTTCTCTCTTTTTTTTTCCTCGCTATTATTCCCTTTTGTTATCCCTTTGAAGCCTCAGTGAGCGATTTTTCATTTGCGTCACTCATTTTCGGACCTGATTTCCAGACTTTTCTTGCGTCTTTCATGTAACTTGTTTTATACCCCATAACCTATTTTGCTCTCAGGTCCAAGATATTCTTGAATTATTGCTTTTCCTTGCTCTATGCGCTGCTATATATCTCGTTTCGTACAAGACTGTTATCTCTTTTTCTTCACTCCTTCTCGGAAACATATTACCTTCTTCTCCAAACTTCTTATTCCTTATTCAACCCATAGGGGGGCGTTATGGCTGAGGTGTATCACGATATATCTTCGGTGGTTCACATCATCTCGCCGTGCCTGATTCGTTTCTTTCTTTCTATTTTCTCTTCTACAACCCTTCTATCGTAATATCACGCGGGCTTGGTTGGGGTAGTTATGATCTGGGGTCTTGACTGGGTTTGGGTGTGGGTCGGCTGGTTTGATTGTGCGAGAGGTGCTTGGGTAAATTATATTGGGTTTGTGCGTGTGAAACTGGGCATTAGAAATTCCTATAGGAAGTATGAGGGGACTTTATTTTGTCTATTTTTTTTATGCATCACTGCGTAGTGACTCTAGCTGAGTCTCCAGTGAGGTATTCACTAGATACGTCAAACTAAGGAATAAAAACTATCGACCTACCTGATTGAAATGCCTAAACCTAAATTACCCACATGATCCAATAAATATAGACCCACGACTGTACGAATTTCTGTCTGGGTTAGAAGGAAAAAACTTAGCACTTTCGTCACTATACTTAGTGATAATTGTTCAAACAACACCCCAGCAACGAGTGATAGTCTGTGCATTTGGCTGGTCGTCTCCACGCTAAGATAAAGTTGAGGCTCTACCGCGGCAACGACACGTCCACCAACGCTGCTAGTCCGCTCTACGAACAGCCACTCCCGTGTTGGCTCGATCAATACCACAACTATGTCTGTGACACTGCACACAGACCTAGGTCCTCTCAAGATTGAGGTCTTCTGCGAGGCGGTACCAAAGACAGCCGAGAACTTCCTAGCACTATGCGCGTCCGGCTACTTCAACGATTGCCCCTTCCACCGCAGCATCAAGACGTTCATGGTACAGACCGGAGACGGCGAGCTAGGCAACGGAAAGGGCGGCAAGAGCATATGGGGGGAGAAGTTTGAGGACGAGATCCGGCCGGCGCTGAGGCACAACGCGAGGGGCGTTGTGAGCATGGCCAACTCGGGCCCGGGAACGAACCAGAGCCAGTTTTTTATTACGTATGGGAGCCATCCGCATCTGGATGGACTGAATACGGTCTTTGGCAAGGTATGTCCTGGGAGATAAGTTGTGGGCTGTGTTGGAATAATAAGACTGATGTGTGTGGGGGTTTTGCGTGTGGTTAGGTCATCGATGGGTTGGATACACTGGATAAGTTGGAGGCTTTGGAGGTCGACAAGAAGGGAAGGCCGAAGAAAGTCACAAAGATCCAGAAAATCACCATACATGCCAACCCCGTGGCTGAGATGGACGCTGGAGAATGATACTGTCTCGGGTGAGATTGGAATGTAATTTTAGGAATGTTGGAAACGGCGTTTGAATATCATAGCCTTAATTTCGAGACCTGAGAGTGTTAAGAGTATTTTGAAACTATCATGAATTTAGCTCTATGTTTCTATTTCTCCAATTACTACTCTAAAGACGTTTACAGTTTGAACGATCTAAAACTACTTTTCCGCGGCCGAGGGGCCCACACATACGGTGTTCCATGCGAACCACTCTGTATGCATATACTTAGAAGGAGACACCCTGATCAACATGATCAACACACAAATCCTACATATGTCTTGTTATCTTAGAAGGCTTTCCAACTGCATCCTTCCCTAAAACACACGCTCTACTAATACGTATATAGCCCCGCCAATACATATACATATATGCGTTGATAGAACCGACTCTGTATTTCTGGGACTTTCAGATATACTTATGTATTATTGCATTGAGAGTATATACGCATGCAACCATCCGCCGATTGCTTCTCATATCCTGTGTGCATTGTTACCGCTCGACAGCCTCACCAACCTCACCAACAGTGACCAACTCGCGAATAGTGAACCGCGTCTTTGGTAACTCTGTATTCCTTCCCCCTGAATCCTGCAAGGCACGCCTGCACTATGTTATTTACCACGTGCACGTGTATACGTATGTTTCCCTGCGTATATACTGTGAGTATCCTATGCCGAGATGCAACACAATATAGAGGCCAATATATATTCTGCAAACAGTGCCGGCGCTACGTACTCTCCCCTTTTTTTAATTATTGACGCCTAGCTCAGTCATAGGGTATCTTGTGTGGGGAGCTAATATAACACTACCTGCATAGCTCAATCTTCGGGACGTAGCTGTGGCCGTGGATCAGTGGTGGGTGTTTATATTGCCATAATCTCCTTTTCTGCACTTTAATAATCGCTCAAATTATACACCTCTCACAAGTCGTCATATATGGAGCTTGTGATCCGGATACTTACAGGAACCGGGGGGGGGGGGGGATCTGGGCGGGTGACCGTTGGACACGTTTTTAAGCAGCGAAATGGCATACTGCGTATACATAATTAACGACTTGTGCTTAAAAGTCGAAGGGTTAATCTCCTCGTTCTTGTACTGCGGACCTGATTAGTAATCTACGCGGCTTTCTTGATCATGGTCGGTCACTCGGGCCGTCTGGAGCCCACTAATTTGAGCGACTAATTAATTGATTGCTCCAACATGCGCATGCGACCCTCGACGTCATTTGGTCCGTATTCAGTATCTGTGGCTTCTTGTGGCCATTTGTAGTAGGTCGCCCATCAGCAATCTACATATAATGACCAACTCTAAGCTTGCCAAAGCGATGGCGCTGTCGACTAACCTTTAGCTAACTACATGTATCCAGCTGGCCAGTAGGGGGGGGGGTGAAAAATCACCTACTAAGTGAAGGATAAGAAAATCCACAAACTATAGGGACCCCATTCAATCCCTCAGACAGGCAGGATCCAGCGCACGGTCGATAAGACCCCGCTGACTTTAAACAAGTTGCGACCTGTTACAACATTCACGTGACCGTCATTCCAAGTGGTATGTATAGTACGTATCGCTAGTAAGCTCAGGTCTCCCCCCAGGTCCACCCGACCCGAGCCCCCCTCAAGGAACTAACACACACACCACCCAGGTCCACCCGAGCCGTTTCTTCAGTCTAGTACCAGATCCGACTAGTCCCTGTGAATTGACGACCAAGTGGAAATGCTTTTTTACGCAACATTCTACGGATCATGAATGATCACTCGCTCACGTGGACAGCTCGTAGTGTTGATTTTGTGCTTTCCCTGGGAGTAAAATCTTATCTTATTAAGAGAGTCTAGAACTTATGGTTGCCACCTGTTTTTTTTTAGTATATATAGATCTACTACTTACACTCATGTCGAACGGCCCAAACACTCCCAATAGAACTGAATTAATGAATTAAACAAAAAAAAAAATCCCAATAGAACTGGGAGGAGCTTTCATATGTAGTATCGGCAGACATTTTATAAGCACCCAAGATGCGTATAACCTGCAACCTCCATCTACCAGTACGTGGAAGCTGCCACGGCCACGGTCACAGTTGGAAATCCAGCGCGTACCGATAGCTGAGATGATTGTGGATTTTCAAGGTTACCCGTAGGGCTATCCGCAATACGCGCATAAGGTCCCACCAGCAGAGATATCCCGACGGAAGTCGTATAAAAAAGACGAACTTATGGGACACCCACCACCACTATTTAACCGGACGTCGACAGAGATCGCGACCACCTGCTACATACCGGCCGACTGCTACACATATGCAGTCCGATAACCTCGTTGGGAGCTTACCTGTACTTACTCTGTGGCCAAGCCCTACCGCTCTCTTAGCATTCTTAACACAAACCAGCAGTGCAGTACGTCTTGGCAACCTCACCTCCGTCTATAGAAGCTACCGTTCTCCCACCACTCTTCTCTACTCAACTATCCCTTTTCTTCTCTCTCTTCCCCCCTCCCCCCCCCCCCTACCTATCCTCCTCCTCCTCCTTTCCCTTTTTCTTTTTTCTCTTTGTGTTTTTCTTGCTGCCCTGTTTTCTTTTCTCTTTTCTTTGTTCTTCTTCCCTCCTCCCTCCTTCCTTCCTCCTTTTCTTTCTTTCTTTGTGACAACCTTTAACTATCAGCGCCGGCTGGACCCCCACACGCGCTGGCACCCAAATCCTGTCTTCGTGTGTGGGGCACAATCTTTAACTTTTTTTTGGAACTTCGTGCCCCCTGGACTCATTCTGGGGGTGCACTGTATCATTGGCGTTACACCGCTGCCGATTGATGCGAGCCAACTTTTTTTGGCCCTTTTTTTTCTTTTCGTTGCGGTCCCCTGGCGCGTTGCGAGGGGGTGATGGAAAGGATTGGGCTTTGGGGGGGTTTTTGGCTTTGGGGTTTTGGGGTTTTCGTGGGTTCTTTAGGCTTTTGTGGGGATTTTGGCTCTGTGGGTTCTTTGGGTTCCTTTATGGGTTTGTGGGCGGGTTCTTTTTGGCTTTTGGGGTCCAAAATTAAGTGGGGGAACACCCACGCTTCAACGTGCGTTCCCTAAAATCGTTCAGGGGGTATTTCCTCGCTACATAGGAAGAGCTTCATGGGCGGAAGGGTAGAGAAAAACCTCAGGGGGGGAAGGGGGGGTGGGGTAAGATGGGGTAGGCCGGGGCGGGGGCAAGAAAGGCCACGAACATTGGTCTATTTTTATTTATTTATATAATCATTTATTAGATATCGCACCAAGGTACAAGAAAAAACACGAAAAAAAAAAAAAAAAAAGACAAGAAGACACGAAGACACGACCCCGCGCCATCAAAAACTTCTCCCACGAACATATCAGCCCGATCGAAGAGTAAAAACGAAAGAGCCCGCAGTTCCTCGAGCTAGTCGCACAGAACAGAGACCAAAAGGCCCAAAACCACAAATCTGAGACGAGGGCCTGCACCAGCACGAGAAAAGGGAAAAAGAGGCAGAAAGCCAAAGACCCACGGGAAAACTCTTGTGATAGTCTCATCACAGATTCTCACTCGCCGGCTCAACGCCCCCACCGGGCGGTGCCAAGAGCGACTTGACGACGTAGGCTCTCTCATGCGTCCTGTGATTTCACGTGCTCTGTCTGGGTTGTCTCAGGGTGTTGTAGCCACTTGGATGGAGGAGGAAATGGAGACTTTTGATTATCGGGTTATGTAACGAAGGGGAAATGGTCAGATAGACAGGAATACCGGGGGGGGGGGGGGTTACACAGAGCGGGGCATGGCAACGGAATTACATGTAGTTTTGGTCACTGGTCTCCAGCCATCCATCACTGTAACAACATGACAGTCAATCAGTCACGAGCCTCCTCGCAGTCACCAGCTCCATCACACGCCCAACTCCGGCTCCGCGCAACCCTTCTCACCCTTCTCACCCCACCACCGCAACCCTAACCCACCCCCGCGAAGATTTCCCGGGTCGCTGGTTATCTATCGCATCCATCAAGCACGTCATAGCCAGCCAGCCTTTCTTCTCTGGCTTGGCAACCCTCACTCACACACACACACTCACCCCTCACTCGCACTCACTCGCACTCACTCACACTCACTCACACTCACTTGCCCCACCCCACCACCCCACCACCCCACCCCCGCCCCCGCTGCCTTTTTTATCAGATCCTGCCCCCAGCGTCAATCAGATCGAAACCTGGACACACCAACACAACCGGAAGTCAAGTGAACACAAGTAAGAAAATATTGACCAGCAGAAAACCGCCAAAAATGCCTGAAGTCACCAACATCACCAGCGTGGACCAGTTCAACACCCTCATCGGGAACGTCCCGCCCACGGCCGTCGTCGCACTAAACTTCCACACGCCCTGGGCCGAGCCGTGTAAGCAGATGAACGAGTAACTCTCCCCCCTCCCTCCCTTCCCTCCCTACTACAGCCCTCCAAGCTAACCCCTCCCTCCCCACCACTACTAGAGTCTTCAAAGCGCTCGCCACCACCGCCCCCCCAACTACCTACTTCCTCTCCATCGACGCCGAAGAGCTCCCCGACATCTCCGAGTCCTACGACGTCTCCGCCGTCCCGTACTTCGTCCTCCTCCGCAACGCCTCAGTCCTCAAACGCATCTCCGGCGCCGACCCCAAAGAGCTGCGCTCCGCCATCGAGACCCAGTGCGGCGCCTCCTCCACCGCTCTACCCCCCGCACAAGAGACCACCGCCCCCCCCGCCACCACTGCATCCCCAACCACCACCACCACCGCCACCTCCGCCGAGACGGGAGGAGAGGAGGACCTCAATACGCGCCTGGCAAAGCTGGTCAAGGCCGCGCCGGTGATGCTGTTCATGAAGGGGACGCCGGCGGCGCCGCAGTGCGGCTTCTCGCGCACGCTGGTGGGCCTGCTGCGGGAGAAGGGCGTGCGCTATGGGTTTTTCAACATCTTGGCGGACGATGAGGTGAGGCAGGGGTTGAAGGAGTTTTCGGACTGGCCGACGTATCCGCAGTTGTATTTGGAGGGGAGTTTGGTGGGGGGGTTGGATATCGTGAGTATTCCCCTGTTTTGGGGGTGAGAGGGGAGGGGAGTGGGGAGAGAGTGCTAATGGAGTGTGTGCGGGTGGTGTAGGTCAAGGAGGAGTTTGAGAACGATCCGGACTTTTTGAAGGCGCAGAGCGTCAGCGCGGATGCTTAGACTGGAAGAAGTAAAACGAAGTATGTAGCGGTTCGCAATTGGGTGGGTATTTTATGAATCTTTCTGTTCTCTCTCGCTTTTTTTTCTTGTCTTGTCTTTGTGCGGTTCTCTTTTTCTGCGAAAACAAAAAATTTCTAGAGGCGTAATATAATTGGCTTTTTTCCTTCTCCTTCTTTTCCTTTTTGCAAAATTTTTTTTTTCCCTTTTGAGTAGTAGAATAGTTAGTAGAAAAGTGATGAAAATGGTTAGAAAGTAAAAAATAAGTACATACAGGTAGCTGGGCTTGTTAACCGGAATCGGGGGAGTAATCGGGGGAGTAATCGGGGGAGTAATCGGGGGAGTAATCGGTGTCTAGATCCTGGGGTTGGATTGGGACGTTAGAGGGATGGAGTTCTCGCGCACGATGGGGGTTTGATCACAAAGACGTAGTTAGAGTTGCTGCCTTGCCAATTAGCCAAACGTTGAAACAAAGAGCTAGATATAAGCTTTTTTCTTTTTTTTTTTTTTTTTTTTTTTTGGGGGGGGGGGGGAATAATCACTCGGTTTTCGTAGTCGTGGAATTAAGGGTCTCCTCTCGCTAGGTATACTCGCATATCCATTATGTATTGGCGCACACACCAAAGGGCACAGAATCCTGAGAGTTCTCTCATTTCCCCTCATATTCTGTAGGCACCAAAAGGAGTCTGCATGCCAACTATGTATAGGCCTTGTTCATAACCTCAAGTACATGGTGTCCAAAGATGTCTTTTTACAGCTTTTCTCTATAACTTTTCCACCATCCCGATTAGACCAGGAATTTAATATATGAACCTCCTGCACCGAGATTATATTATACATGGACAGTCAAGCTTTGTTATATTTATGGAAACTTCCGTGTCCTCAATTTTTGGTGTGTTTTGATGGTTGCGCCAATACATACATATTGGATGTGCGAGTACAGCTCTTAAATATGCAATTGAAACTACATATACTCTGGGTTAGGCACTTGCACTGCGCGGCCGAACTACATGTAGGCAGAAAGGTTTCTACTCCGGACAGCTTTGGGAATTGCATGTAGGTATCTTCGTAGCTTAGCTGGTTGCGACAATCGATAAGCATCCTGCCCGCACTTCACCTCACCTCACCTCACCTCAACCAACCAACCCACTACTGCTAGTACAAGGGTCCACACCGCACCTACCCACTCCCCCCCACCACTCAATATCCCCCGCACCACACATACATACACACACACACCATGTCCGCCTCACCCCCCAGCCTCCTCTCCTCCAACACCCAAACCCTGACGCCGCTCGAACAAGAGGTCCTCGACGAATACGCGCGCCTCCTCGAGAACCTCAACAAAGTACCCTCCCTTCCCTCCCTCCTCCCTTCCCTCCCCGTCCTTCCCCTCCCCCTCCTTCCCCTCCCCCTCCCCCTCCCCCCACCCACCCCGCAGACAGCAGCTAACACACACAAAAGCTCGGCACCTCAATCGCCGACATCGCCGGCCTCCCCACCGCCAAGATCCTCGACAGCCTGCGCGGGCTGGAGCGCAAGACGGGGCTGGTCTTCACGCTGCTCAAGGCGTCGGTGTACTCCATGGTGCTGCAGCAGCAGCTGGATGTTGAGCGCCGGGACCAGGAGGAGGAGGAGGATGCCCATGGTGGTGGCGGGGGTGGGGGAGGGGCAGGGGGGAGTGATAGTGATGTCGAGATGGGGTTTTAATTAGAGGTGTGGGATGGGTATGGGGATGGGCGTTCCCTTCCCTGCTTTTTTTTAATGGAAGGGGGGGGGTTCTTTTACAGCGAATTATTCATGGGAGAGGGGGGTGGGTGGGTTTTAATATATCTTTTACGGGTGCGATGGTGTTTTGGTAGGCTTTGATGTGTGTAGAGGTGATTTGTAGACCTGGTTGTAGAAAGCACCAGGCGGCAGAGAGGTAGTAATTTACTACACCGCCCGCCGGATCTGTAGGGAAAGCCTAACCATAGATTGATCACATCATATTGCACCCGTAGACCTACATGTACTCCTACCCTTCTACAAGACTAGTACATCTCCCTCCAAATTACTTAAAACCCGAATCCGGCCTAGCTAGCTAGCCATTCCTTCCCAATTCCCAACCTTTTTTTTTTTAATAAAAAAAGAATCACAATTATTATCTACTACCAATGATCAAAGACCCCTCTTTCTCTCATAATAAAACAAAAACTTGTGGAATATCATTTACCAGGCACACGCACACACACACCAAACATATGTAGAAATAAAATAGGAATCATCAACAAACGCCACTCCAAGAAAGTAATTATAATGAAGAATTCAACGTCCACCGGCCCCCCAGACTGCTGCTGCTGCTGCTGTGCCAGCTCTTCACTGGTAAATGAATATCACACCACTCCTGTCAACGCTAATTATCATCCCGTACGGAACCTCCAAGAACGCCACCTACCACCATCACCGGTAATCAGCACGCCGCTATAAACCTCTAGTGAAGAAAAAGAGAAGAGAAGAGGAGGAGGAGGGGGGGGGGGGGAACACATGCATCCAAGATCGAGTCCAAATGACACTTCAACAGCTGCTGCTGCTGCATACTAATCACCGTACTCCTCGGCGTCCTCCCACTCGCCTTCGCCGCCTTCTTCCCCGTACTGCTTCCTGCCGCACCAGGCAGCAGCGTCCTCCCACCGCTGCTACTCGCCGCATCCGGCGTCGACCCCGCCGGTGCCGGAACCCGCTCCGTATTCAACGTCAGCGTCGTCGTCGGATGCGACGTCGTAAACGTCGGCTTCAGCTCCTCCGCATCAAGCCCGCTCACAACAATCGACGACTCGACCTTCGTGCAGTTCCAGAAGCGGATCTTCTTGTCTGCCCCGGCAGAGATGATGAATCCAGGCATAGTCCGCGACTCCCCACTATCCTCCGTGACATCCAGGCCCGCCACAAACGCGCGGACCCCGCGGTCACCATTGCTAGCGCCGCCGGACTCGAGGTGCGTTGGGGTGGTGGCGAAGCGGGCGAGCATTTTCTCTGACGACTCCTCTTCGACATTCCATGGCTCGTAGCCCTTCCCACTGTCTTTGCCGCCGGCACGGTAGACCTCGCGGCATTGGGTTTTTTCACAGTCCCAGACTGAGAGCTCGCCGTGGCCGGTGCCGCCGGCGACGATGATCCATTTGCCGCGGCCCTTGGAGGGGTGCACGGAGACGCGGTGGATGGGCGCTGAGCCCGGGAGGCCCCAGGCTTTGAGGCGGAGTTGGAAACGGAGGTCCCACATGTCTAGGAGGCCGTGAGAGGTGCCGACAATGAGCCAATTGTGTTTACGGTCGACACAGAAGCAGGTCAGGGTGCCGTGGAACATGGGGTTCTTGAGAGTATAGAGAATCTGCATAGTTCTCAGGTCTAGTCCATAGATGTTGGAATTGTTGGTCGCGATTAGTAGGATCGAATGGGTATCTATAATCGATGATCAGCTTGACAGGTTTTCGATATCTCATATTTGAGAACTTACCTGCTTTAAAGTGCTCCATCCACACCGCATACTCCTTCTCAGGCAATTGCCAATTCCTCATCACCTTCAACTTCCCATACTTCGCTGCCTGGCCCGTTAACTGTAGATCGACCTTAACCACATGCACAGACCCATCCGTAGCCGCGGACACAAAGCATCTCGTATTCTCGACGAAGCATAGCGCTTTCACCTTAGACCCGGCTGCATGCCTATACGTCTGCCTTGCCTTAAACGCAACGTTCTTCTCCAATCTACTTGAATCCCACACCTTCACTGTGCCGTCATCACTCCCGGTAACAAAGAAATTATGATCCGACGCCACAACAACCCTATTGATCGCGCCCGTATGCTCACCAAACTGCGCAACCAGCACACCCTCTGGCTTCCAAGTCCCGCCCGCTGGTCGCCCACTCGATTTTTTGATTGGTGTGCGCCGCTGCTGGGTTGGGATGGGAACAATCGCGGGACCGAACTCGAGGATGTCGCTAGGGTAGTTCTGTAGGTACATCGCGTCGAGTAGCTTCAAGATATGCGGGTCGTTTCCGTCATAGGAGTGCGCACCACGGAACTTAAATACTGGTGTTTCTACCGTCTCCGTGACCTTTAGTGCACCATCTCCGTTACGTGTGAATGGGTGCTCGACTCGGCCGAATGCTGACACCGATACCGTCCCGGTCTCTGGAGGCGCTTTCCCGGCTTCTTGTCCCCGGGCTAACAAGCTAAGCGTACTTGGCTTCCTTCTCAACAATGCAGGACCACCACCACCATTATGGCTGTTATCTACTGAACTTGCTGCGGTACTCGACTCACTGCTACCAGCTACTGTGACGACTGGTACTGCCAATGGCGCTGAGGTCTCAGCAGTTGGTGTCGGAGGTCCAGAGCCAGACATTGACATGCTATCTCCGCCGAGGCGGGACCGCCGGATCTCCATCCCCGGAGGCCTTTTCAACCTAGTTGAAGGAGAGCGCCTTGGTGCATCGATTGTCTTGCTGGCGTCCAGCAGCGCATCTGCGATTGTGTGCGGCCTATTACCTGTCGACGGAGAAGTGTCCGCGGCGAGGGAGAAAAACGACTCGTTCTCGTCAAAGAAAATGGTCTGAGGGGTGATGTTCAGGTTCTTCAGCGATATGGTGCTATTAAGCACTGAGGGCGTGTCGTCGGATATGAGCTGCGTTTTGGATTGCGCCATGCGCCAGATGTATTCGCGAAGAGCAATGACTTTCCATTCGTCTTCTGCGGTCATGCCAAGGTTGCGGAGTTTCCCAAGCCAATTTTCGTCTCTAGACTCATGTCAGCGTTCAAATATTTAATATAGAAAGTGGTACTTTCGTGAACATACTCTTCGTTCTTAGGTACCCTCATAAACATGTTGACCCCAACATCACGCACCCCAGCTTTCGGAAATGCCTCCATCACACTTCCATACGCAAAAGTCCTCTGCTCTTGTGCTGCGTTCCAGAAGATACCTCTCCTCGTTTGCGTCGCCCAAGTAACTGCCATATCA